CTCTTCTCTGCAGGTCAAGAGGCTTTTCTCTCTCATCCCAAGTGTTGTGCTGCAAGTTCCCAGCACTCCTGGCTTGGGACGGGGTTGGCAGGTCCCTGTTTCAGGGGGTGGCTGAGTTTGGCTGACACAGTGGGTTGACCAAAACCCTACTCACCTGGCACAGAAGTTTCAAGATCTTGTTTTCAGCCTTTTTTAGCCACTTTCATTTGGGTCAGAATACTAGAAACTTGTACTTAGCTCCTCCCTCTGCCACACTAGTCCCATTTACTCTGTCCCTTCTTCTTCACTGCCTCTTAATATCCTTTTCTTCCTCACTTTTTACATCATTTTGTCATCTGCACAGCCACTGCTTATGCTAGTATTTGAGGGTAGGTGCCTGACCCCTTGAGGTCTTCAGCACCTGCTCTCCCCTAATGTTCATGGTAGAAGAATATTTGATTCAGGTAAGCCAAGGTGAGGTTCAAGGTTGACAGCTAAAGCCTTCACCATGGATCTCCTTTTGGCAAGTGTGGTGGTATATTTTCATCAAAGTCTAGCTGAGCATATAAACTCCTTCCTGAATGTATAAATTCCTTGTCAATAATCTTGGCAGAAAAAAGTGTGTGAGGCGGTAAAAGAGGGTAAATGCACTGTGGGCTAAAAGACTGCTGAGAAGTCTCAGAGAACGTGCATTTAATATGGATACATGCAGAAGTAAAAATCCGGGAGCAAAGGAGCAGGTCATGCTTAGAGACTTAGGGTTGTAGCACGGAAAGCAATGACTCAAAGGCTTTGGTGTATCACTGAAGGGTGTAAAGTTTCCTTGACCTGGGAAGTTCATGCCCATCTCCAAAGTGCCATGCCTGTGTATGTGCACCTACCCCACCTGCAAAGCCTAGACTGCTTCTCTTTTTAGACTGGGGCTCAGCTGACTGAGATGCTAATGTACAAAGCTATGGTAACTGTATTACTTTTAATCATGTTCTCCTATTGCTCTGGTCTGTGTGAAAACTAAGTGAGTAACTGCCAGTGCAAAGCTGTAGCCAAGAAAGCTACGACTTTGAAGCATATGATCAGGGGAGCACTGAATAGAAGTGACTGGGTGATATCACCCTGTATGTAGGGAGCTGCATCAGTCTTGGTCTGATGAGTCCAACAGTGATATCTGCTTCGTAGAGGATACTGAGAATTTGGATAGTCTCACAAGAGGGCTACAAGGATAAATCAAGATCTGAAAAAATTGAGGAAGATTAAGAAAGCTTCATCCATTTAGCTCAACTGAATGAATGGGGACACAAGGTTTGCAGGTACAATCCTCATACTGGTATCACTGGAGTTTCTCTTTGGGGTTGCACCCAATTATTCTGGAGAAGAATCCAGTACTGGTAAATAGAAAATGTGTCTGTGGATCAGTCCTAGGGGTGAATACCTGTCTTAAGAGCTCCATGCCAAGGATTACAGGATTTCTTTAGCCAGCTGCAGGCAGCATTCTCTGGCCAGTGATGTGGGGATCATCACTATGTTCTCCTTTGTCATCTGAAAGCTCTATCATAAAAGACCTGCCTCTGCTTCACTCTGCTTCCTCAGTTCCCTCTGTTTTGCTGGGCATGGCTATGAGACTATTGCTAGAGAGAGAGAGGGCGATGTCTCGGGAAGTGTCCACTGGCTCAGGCTTTTCCTGCCGAGCACTGGGACAAGCAGGCAGGTTTTGCAGGCATGCTTCACATGCCAGTGTCTCTGCTGATGCACTACTGCAGTTGCAACATGCAAACTCCCCCCTGCCATAACCCAGGTGGCAGTGGCTCTCTGTGCATAGGTGATCAGGAGAGGATGGGGTGAGGAGGAGAGTTAACGATTCTTAAGCTTGAATGTGAAGGTACTTTGGCTGCAAGGCTTAATTTCTGGGCACCTTTTCATAACGTTTTTGTTACCATATTTTGCTTTACAAGGCGTGGTTATCGCTTCCTCCTTCCTGCAGTGGGGCTCTGTAGCAGTCCCAGTTATCTCCTGTTCTCATCTCGGGGAAGCACAATAACCCACTGCTTTCCACCTTCCCTCCTGGCTTTCATTTTCTCTTGTTTTCTTTTAGGAAACAGTTTAAATGTGTCCCTTCCTTCTGTAACAATGCTTTGCTAGTTATGTTCTGTAGTTAATCAAATCTGTCGGCAGAAGAGGTTTTGGTGTTTGCCATGGTGCAGAGCACACCCAGATGGACAGTGTCTGAGGCATCAGTGTCAGCCTCTACGAACATTTTTTTTTTTCCCCTGTAAGATCTGTTCACAGCCCCCCAAAAGGTCTGTGTGACAACTGCCATGTGGCCTTGATCACTCTTGTAATAACACAGGTGTGTCTAGCTCTGTCTTCAGAGGAGTCCTGTCATCATGTTTGATTCTAATTTTGTTTTATTGTTGTTTTACTTCTAATTTTGGGGTATGAAATTAGTTCTGGGAAATACACAAAGATACTCTGACTCCCCAGGGAGCAACTCTGGTGGATTCTGTGTCTTGCCTGGATGAATTCAGGCACTGTGTTTCTTTTTTGTTTGCTCTTTTGCTTTTATGAGCCATGTGATTTTTCATGGTATATACCAGATCTGTTTGCAAAGGGATGTTAGAGACGTGTAACAGCTTGTCAGCGGTGTGATGGCAACTGTAGGCAGAGCTCCAGATTACTCACTCCAGCCCTTGCCTCTTACACCTGCCAGGCTGCTGCCCTAGGGTCATCCGTGATTTGAGTTTCCCATGCTCAGCTCTGCAGGTGGGGTAAGTGCTCTGCACCGCAGAGCTGGTCCCGCTCCCACCTCTGTGAGCAGGGTCCGCTGGTGCCCTGGGTCTTGCAGCACTGGGGTGCTCTTGGTAGGCTCTGGCTGTGTGGGTGGAAGGAACACCCTCGTTTTCTTCCCCTAGCAACTTGGAGGAGCAAAGGGACCTCTATAAACCTTTTTGTGTGGAGCTGCTCTAAAATCAAGTGTCTTCCTGGAAGCAGCCTCTAATAGAGATGCTCTTAGGTAACCCAAATTGGCTGCACTTTTTTCCTCTCTACATCTGAATTCAATCCATCCCATCTTCCCATAAAAAACACAATGTTACCTGTAAATACTTTTTGTGTATTTCTGTTTCCATGATTCCCTATTTAAATATTCTTGAATTTTATTTCCTGCTGATCCTTCTATCCTTTTTTCTACCCTTTAAACTTGCATGTGTATTAGGTCTTCATTTTCTTTCCTCCATTTCCAGCATGACCACTTGCTGATCATACTTTTATCTCCTTCACTTTGCTGAGTTACTATTCTCAAAATCCCTGAACATGTCTTCTTTGAAGCTGAGGGACCTGGGATGGCACTAGACATGTCCCATAAAAGTTACCTTTTGGAACAAGATGGGCATGGGGGCAAGTTTATAATGCAGTTTGTACTTCATTATTCCTTGTATTAATAATAAGGTCAGAAGTGATGAAGAAGGTGAATGTGGGCACTAGACCAACAGTGTGTTGACAGCAGAGGAGGGGATTTTCCAAATAATACAGAGGTAAACAGACACTCCCTGGTTTCATTGTCAATTAAAGCTATACCAGTAGCTTTGTGCTTATTAAGAATCCCACAAAAAGGAATTTGCACAACAAGGAGAAATCTTGTGGCAAGGGCTTGATTTTGATTTCAAAGCTGCTGCTCTGACGTGAGACTCGCCACCATGTGATAAACTGTTACCTAGCTTGTCCTCCTCCTGACATGTGTCCATCAGCCACTGGGCATGGAGACAAACTGTACTGGCAGCGCATCCCCATAAACAGTGATTCAGTCCCTGTCCAGAGCAAAGACACCATTCAAAGGGTGACTTGGTGGTGGCAGCGGTGCCAGCTCCCAGTAAGCCCCTGGGATGCTGGGTTGTTTTCTGGTTTTGCGAAAGGGTTGCTAAAAGGCCACAAAACCTTCATTGCTGTTGCTCAGTGTTGCAAAGCAGCTTTCTCTTTGCTGTGGGAGGTTTTTGGGAGCATCCCAAGGAGCAGTTAAAAGCAGCCACGTGCTCACATGCTGCATCCTGTGCTGAGAGCAGTGTGTGGTTTCGCAGTATGCAGAAGGTCCAGCATCCCAGTATGCCCACTGGCATGTTGCAGCCGCTTCCTGGCATCTTCTAAGTTTTGCTGCATGCTCCCAACTTCTGACAGGCTCAAACCTCAGCTACTGGCATAGTGATTGCACGAAGCTACTAACGTCCAGTAGGCTTCTGGTTCAAGGATCTCCATTACAGTGGAGAAGCTCATTCTTCTTATTTTAAAGATCACACTAATCTATACTGATTGAAGTAGGGACCTCAGGCAAGAGCCAGAAGCAGAACAAAATCTACCTTTTGAGTTGTGAGCACTTACCACTGGTCTGGAGTAGCTCCCAGCTTCTAGGACACTTGAGTCACTGCTCAAGGACATAGCTGGGCAGACACTCGGTTCAGTGTTTGCTTTCCGCCCGTCAACATGGTTTAAAGTCAGGTTTGTTCCCTGCAACTGCTTTCATGGGTTCTGCTGTTGTAAAAGCCAAACTTATTTTCTCAGAGAGCAAAATGGGGCATGCAAAGACTAAGAACAGTAAGAAGCTCCTTCGTGAGTGTGTTCAGGGAGATCACGTTTGCTTTTAGGTTGCAACTTCTCCAGTGTACTGGGATTAGTTGGCAACTTATTCCCTCCTCCTGCTCCTCTGATTTATAACTTATGTAAATGGGAAGTGACACGAGAGAGCAGAGAAGGGTGTGTTTGTGTGGCGTTAAACTGTCGGGCAGGTTTATCCCTCTTGTCACGGGACTCCACAAGCCTCGGTAGGTGCCTGTCAAGCAGGGGGAGCCTTGTCCAAAGCTTGCTAGGAGCACCCTGAGAGGTGTAGCAGCAATCAGCCCCTTAGGGAAGGGGTACCTGGGCTGCCTGTCATGGCTGGTGCATCTCCCCAGGGTAGAGGATCTTTCCAGGACCCTGTCTCAGTGCCAGGAGATGAATTCCTTATAGCTGCTTCTGTGCTGCTCTTGTGCTTCCAGGTGACCCTCTTTGTCTACTCCGACCTGCTGCTCTTCACCAAGGAGGATGAGCCTGGGCGCTGCAATGTCCTGAGGAACCCTCTCTACCTCCAGAGTGTCAAGCTCCAGGAAGGTGAGTGTCTGCAGCAGCAGCGGAGATGTTTAGGGCATTTTTGGGGCCGCTAGCTAAAAAGGGTTTTGGCCAGCAGCAGGATAGCACCCCACTATCCCATTGCTTCCAGTATGTAACAGTACCATCCAACTGGTGCTGCCAGATCATCCTTCCTTGGGGTGCAGGGCCAGCATTACCCTTCCCATCCCTGCATTGACCCAGTCCCCAGGAGCTCCATCTCCTGAGACACCTCAGGGGCACTCAGCAATCACCACTTTCCAGGGCTTTTTGGGTGTGTCTCTCAGGGATTTTGGACTGGCATTCCCCAGGGTCTTGCTGTGCTGAGCTGTTCCCCTAGCTGGCATTACGCTGCCCATAGAGGGGGCTTGCCGAGGCTGAGAAAGGGAAGTGAAGTCTTGAGGTTTCCCCCATGGTGCCTCGAGAGAGTTCAGTGCTTGTCTCGGAGTCTGGCTAAGCCCTACTGACCTTTACTTTGCTACTTCTCCCTTCAGCCACCCACGGTTTTCCCTTGTGCTAGCATCCCTCCCCCATGCATGCCCCATTGGTGAGGAAAGAGCAAACCCTGGCCTTGGTGGGAGGCTGTGGACCATGTCCTTACTCTTTTCGCCCTGGCTGGGCTTTCATGTCCAGCTGAGGGATCAGGGAGGGCTTCTAGCGCAGGGGGTGACTTGAAATCGATTATTTCAAGTTGAAATACTGAGGCTGTACAAAAGATGGCCTTTAGCTACTCACGGGTAAAAGAGGAACGAATGAATTGCTCTACCACATCCTATTTGCTATGGTGGAGCCACTTCTTGGCCCTGGGCCCAGTCCCACCTTGTTCCTTCTTTGGTGCAGTTGTTTTTTGGGTACGGGCTTGTTTTGTGTACAGTCGTCCAACTGCGTCAGTGTGGGGCTGGTGCCCTGGGTCCTCCTCGAGCCCAGGCAGCGGGTGTCACTGGACCGGGACCTGATGTGGGAAACAGTGATTAGATATAAGGAAAAACTTTTCTATGGTGAGTCTGGTCAAATGTTAAGTTGTCCAGAGTGGTTGTGGGATCTCCGTCCCTGGAGGTGTTCAGGACTGAGCTGGGCATGGCCCTGAGCTCCCTGATCTGGGTGCTTTGGGCATGGGCTTGGACTAGAGACCACCAGAGGGGCCCCTTCCAACCCAAATTACTATGTAACTGTATGAGCTGATGTCTTTATACAGTCCTGTGGCCCTGGCCAAAAGGGATTAATCCAGATCTGGGCTGCATCTCCAAAGGGATCCTTTTCTGGATGAATTTGCCATGTCCCATAACTTTCCCCAGCTGAGATTTGAGGCTGTGTGGATGAGCTGCATCTCTCGATGTGCCCCACGTTGTTGTGAGCCTCAGTGCTGGGGATCTGCAATGCTGTGCCAGACACCACAGGCTGCCTGTCAGTTGTTATTTCCCACTTCCAACAACATTTCTGCTCCCAGATTAATTTACTGACCTATTTGGTGGGGATGGAAACACAGTGAGGGAGAGGGGGAGCCAGAGCATGAGCATTTAGAAAAGCAATCGAATCTTCACTGGGGTTTGTTGAATTTGTTCTCAGCACTGCTTATTTCTAAGAAATGGACAAAAGAAATTGTTCCTTGTTGAAGTGCTTGTTGGTCAGCGTCCGCTCCTGGAGCGTGCATGCATGCCGCCCCTGGCTGCTCCCAAAGGCTGTTGAATAACCCTGCTCTTGTTTGCCTCCTTGAAGAAATCAGCTTCCCCAGTGCTGGTCCCGGCTCTGCACACAAAGGTCTGTTTGCAGCTCAGGACAGGAATGTGCCTCCTAACCTCAGGCAGAGCAGTCGGATTTTGTGAGCAGTTTTCTGCCACTTATTTCCTTGTTGTCATAATAACTTGGCTGGATCACATCTGGAATAGCTTAACAAGCCTCTCTGAAGGGGATGTTTGTCTCTGCGGGGCTGAAACGCCCACCTGTATGCCGGGATGTATCCCGGGAATCCATCACAGTTGGTTTTCAGGCAGCTCACCCTCCTGCTTTGGGCAGGGCTCTTCAAAGGCGGGTGGAACAAGCAAAAAGATGTCCGTCCCTTTTGGCAGGGATTTTCTGTTGGTCTCCTAAATAACTGAATGGCACATTAATAGGAACAGGCGTATTGCTGAGTATAACAATTGAGACATCTCCGGTACACTGAAGACCATTGTGATGTTTCCTGTTTCTGCTGCTCGCTGCACTGTGCGAAAGCAAATCAGTATAATCTGCTTTACAATGCTCTGTCTTCCTGCTTTAGAAGCTGAGCATGCCTGATGAGCACCACACTGGCCAATGTTTCCAGTGTGACAGGGCTGGCTTCCTCACTAGATACTGTGGGAATTTCCATGCTAATGTCACTGCCTCTCTGGGATCCTGGCCCCCCTGGGTGGGTATGCTTAGCTTTGGGATAGCTCCTGTTCTGCAGCCAGAATGAGGATCCCCATTCCCAGCCTTGATCCTGCAAACAAGGACTTTTCATGTGCTGCTTTGCTGTCCCTGATGTCCCAACCCACCATATCTTACAGCAAACAGCTCCAAGATAGTCAGAGGCCAAGAGTGTGATTTATGGGGCTTCTGCCTCACCACAGCTTCTCCCGGCTGCCCCAAGGTTGCTGGGAAACACCCAGGGCTTGTGCCCTGCCACACCTCCCCAGGGACATGTGGCACAGAAGGTGGCAAGCTTGTTCCCTTCTGGCAGCCAGGTTTGGATGTGCACAACAGCCTTCCACTCTTGCCAGGCACCCAGGGCCCTGCACTTGTGAGCTCCTCTTTGGGTGCCAGATGCAGTCCTGTCCTTGCTGAGCAGATGCGAGGGGCTGGGGAGCAGCATACCTGCCCTCATAGTGGGCATTGCCACGGTCCCCTGGGCTGTGCCAGGAGGCTGTGGAAAGAAGCAGGACCATCTTCCCTCTTTTCCCATCTTTTTGACCCAACGCCTGGCATATGCACCACCCAAATCCTGCAAGCAGCGGGTGTTTTCCTCCCACAGGGAGGTGGGCAGAGCCAGGCCAGTGCTGAAAGCTGCTGTTGTGCTGGGAGCTGCGTAAGTGCCTGCCCTGTGCATCAGCATGGGTGTGCAGGATGAGGTTTAGCTGGAGAGGGGGATGTGTCCGCACAAAACTTGCACCTTCCTCTTGTCTGTGCTGAACGCATGCAGCAGCCCAGCCCTGGGGCAGGGATGGGTCAAGTTACTCTGAAAGACAAGCCAGTCCCCATCACAATGCATCAGGAAGAAACTGAAGTATCCTCAAGTGAGTTGTTTTTTTTTTTCTCCTGCTTATTTCCTTTCAGCATTTCACTAAATTTGGCTGAGAGTATGCGCTGTTCAGCTGTCAAAAAAGGTGCGGACATAGTGCCGCTTGGGGAATGGAGCCCCGGATTAGTCTAGGCAGCTGGCTGCTGCCTTCCTGGCATGATGTTGTGCCTCTCCTCTTGTCTTTCGTGGCCTGTGTTGTCCGCAGTGCAGGAGATGAGCAGTGCATGTTGCACGGCTCCAGGGCACAGCAGGCTCCAGTGCACCAGCCTGACCCCCTGGAGACTGTAAAAAGCTCCACTGGAAGAAATCCCAGCAAACCTGGTTTGTGCTGAAATCTGCGCTTGGGTCTGCCCTTCCTGGCTCTGTCATCACTCTCCTGCCTCCCCTCGCACCTCGCTGTGGATTGGCAACAGCTCAAGCCCAGCTGCTGGGCTGGGCAGCCAGTCTCTTACCTCCCATTTGTTTTCTCTCTAAAGGCAATTGCTGGTAGAAAATGGGATTTAAGCAGTTCCTTAGCCTAGGCTGGATCCCTGCTTTGTGTCCCCCATAGGCACTGGGCTGCTTGGCCATATGTAGCAGCGAGCCTTGGAGGGACAAAGGGACAGGAGCTGCTGGCGGTGGGAGGTTGCTAATGCCAAGATTCATAGCTCAATGGAGAGGAATTTGGAAGGGAACTTAATTCTGATGGTTTTGGGCTATGTTGGGATCACTTGTTATTGCAGAAGGAATAAACAGAGGCCCAGGAGAAGTGGTGTCATTCCCAGGGCCATTATACTCTGACGTCACCTTTCTTTGCTGAGGGTGCATGTCTCCAGAAGGTGACTTGTTCCTCAGATCAGCTGGGAAAGATGGGTTAAAGCTCCTGAGGGAAAGTGGCTGGGACGTGTTGGTATTCTGCAATCTGCTTTGCAAGGCAGCCTGGAGAGCTTTGGTTATGGTGCAGGGAGGAGCAGAGAGCCCAGCTGAGAAGATGGGGTGTTTTTTGTACTGCTGACCACTTGGGAAGCAGAAGCAGCAGAAGGGGATGGTGGGCTTGTGGTATGCCAGCAGCAGGCTCAGATCCTGCCTCTAAACCCTCCCTCAAGGGGAAAGGCACTGGCTGAGGGGCTCCCATCAGAGGCTTTGGCTTAGCAAGGAAAATGCTCCCTGATGGCCCTGCTGGGATTTACAGAAGAGGGTACTGGGAGAGCTCAGGCAGGGCCGTGGAGAGTGGTGAATAGTTCTTCTGTGGTGCAGAGGTTCAGCATGTGCTCTCAGGGCCCAGCATTGCTCCCCTTCTGGAAGTGAAGATTTGGAGGGGAAGCGCTGGAGCCCTTTGGCCGGCAGCTCTGGGGCCAGGCTACTTCCCTGACCCTCGCATTGCCCAGGGTGGAACAGACTGAAGGTTATGAAGACACTTGAGGACTCATCATCCAAGTCCACAGCAGCGCTCCCGGTGGTGCTGGGCTCCAGCAGCCACTGTGGCACAGTGTCCTGGTGTCCCCATAGTGATGTTCCAGCCCATATCCTGCAACATGCATTAAAAGTGAAGCTGGCAGTGGAGGCAGGCCTGCGGTCCCCCAAAGGGCAGCCGGAAGAGACATCTAGCAAATGGCTTCAGGCCATTGCACTTCTCCATGGGTTTCACATTGCCCATGGAGTGACTCAAGAGGCATCCGAGTCCCTCAATGGGTCACAGCTCTTATTTTGATACGTGGGCTGCTGCCTGCGGCAGAAGAATTGCTTTCCTCTGGGGAATAGGGTGTTTCCACTGCTGTACAGAGCCTGTTCCCATCGTTAGCACAGCTCAGGCTGTTGAAATGAAGCAGAGCTTGTGCTGATACTGCTTTGAATAGGATCTGCGGCCATGCCCAGACTGCAGACCTGATCTCATGGCAGAGAGAATGTCATTAAAAGGGTTATGAAAGCTGCAGCCCAGCGGTACTGCATGCTACCAGGGGCAAAGCTGGTGCTGGTGCAAAGGAGCGAACTGGCTCCAGGAGGTGGGATGTCCTGCTTCAGAGTTGAGGTTATCTTGTCCAGTGGCAGCTTCATGTCCTCCTGCAGGCTGATGTGTGCCAGGAGCTGGCTTCCCTTGGGGCTGGGGACACTTGTGTCTCACCAGCAGGGATCGAAGACCAGGGCAGATCCTCAGCAATGCCTCTGTTGGGGACAGGGAAGGCTAGGCCTGCAGGAACCAGCCTGGCTGAGCAGCTGGAGCATAACACATCCCCTGGGTCAGCTGGCAGCAAGATGAGGAGGTGAGCTGCACTGCTCCATGATTTAGTAAGACGTGGATCACAATGTTGGTCATTGCATTGCCTCCAGCACCATCTCCTTTCTCAAAGCTGTGGAAGTGGTTAATGGTTGGACTGGATGATCTTAAATGTCTTTTCCAACCTAAATGAGTCTATGATTCTATGATTAAGTGGCTCAGGCCTCCTGAGCAGCATCATGCTGGTGGGAGCCTGGGGAGTTTGCCCTCAGTCTGATGGAGCAGGATGGGCTTTCCTCCCTGCCCCATGTCAGCTGCTTCCCCATGCCCCAGGGTTTGGCTCCAACTCCTCAGAGAGGCACAGACCCCAAACACTGGCAATGGTGGGGGCTGGGACAGACAGCACTAGACAGAGCTACCACCAGCCCCACCAAGGGCTTGGGGCAAGAAACTGGGAATGAGCAAGGACGTAGGAAAAGGAGCTGCTCGGGTTAGTCCTCCTGTGAGCAAAGTGTCCACAGAGGTAAGATGTGGAGAGACCCAACCTCAGTGCCCAGGATGGCTGCATGGACACTGCAGGGCCTCCACAGTCCCCAGGAGGGAATTGGGCTGCGCATGCCATTGCAGGTTGGGCAGAAGAGCCCGTGCATGGCCTCTGAATGAAACAAACCTTTTTCCAAAAGGACAAACTCAAAGGAGAATCCATGATAGTGCAGTGAGTCCATGCAAGGTACCATGCAATGCAGCCTGCCCAGCACATGGCCCCTGCAGATGCAGCATACATCACTCCCAGATCACAGCCTGGTACTGTAGGATGACAACAATAAATATTCATTAAATGCTGTCTCTTAGCCAATTCCTCTGCCATTGTCTCTGCTTGCAGAAATGCAGTTGTAGCTTAATTTTGATCCTGTTTTTTCTTCTTTGTAGGTTCAGAAGATCGGAAATTCTGCATCCTTTACCTTGCAGAGGTGAGTGTTGCTGTCTTCCAAATTAACTTTGTAGTGGGAGCTGAACACGTACTAGCAGCTCTGATCCTTTCTGCTGGGGCAAGGAGCACTGAACGGGCTGATTTTAACTTCCTTTTTAATTAATTTGCCAGAGATCTGGAAAGGAAATGTAACAGCTGTAGCCAGAATATATTAGTAAGAAGCTGCTAAAAGGAATCTGTGAACGGGGAGGCTGGGCAACACTGAGACAGGTTTGCTTTTCCCCTTCCCCCTGTGTGCAGTAGGTGGATCTTCCTCGCTGCATCTCACTTTCGATTTGTCCTGGGGTTCTTTTGCCTGGGGGCAGATTTTCTTGCCAGCTGTTTTGTCTTTATTTTTTAGGCAGCTTGCTTTTCTTGTCTTTGAGCACACAGGTTCGAAGCTCTCAAATAAAATGAGGAAGCTCAATCTAAAAGACATATAATCAAAGCTCTAAAAACACATGCTCTAAGCAGATTTGCAATCACTCAGACTTTGGCATAGTTACGTTTGTGTCGTGAAGCAGCCAAGGAGACTGCAAAATTTGTTCACAGTGACTGGACCTCCCTAATCATTGAATGCTGTGGCTTTTTTTCCTTTTCAAATTACTTTACTGTGTTCCTGGTTTCAAGGCATTGTATTTTCAGGGGTGGAAATTTGGATCTGGGAAAGATCCCCAGGGCACAGAGGAGAAAGGCAAACATTGCTCAGCAGCACCACAAAATAATAAGCTATTGTGAAAGTTGGATGAAAATGTTCAGAATGAAAGTTGTTCACCTTGAGTGGCTGGGATTTGGGCCAAAGCATGACTTGCTGCGTAACTATCGGCTGACGAGTTCTCTCTCACATTTCCCTCTTGTTCCTTTCTTGTCTCCTCTATTTATTCCTGAGGTGGTCAGGCAGGAGCTGCCTCCTTGGGGGTTTGCTCAGTGCATGTCCCAGTGTGATGTCAGACTTGCATGATGTCTCCCTACCCAGCTAATCCTGTGCTGTGACTCAGAACGGCTGCGATGGGTTTTCGTCAGCGATATCCTGACAGTGGGATGAGGCACTCCTGCATTTTCTCATGCATTTGGAAAAATGCATTTGGAGCCTGATATTTAATTTAGAAGCTTTGGGCCCCTAAATAGAAGTGACTGAAAGAGAGCTAGCTGTGTTTCATGAGATCTTGGGAGGGGAAGTCTCGTCTTTGTCAAGATGTAATGAAGTGCTTAGCTTTCTTCTGAGGGGCTTAAATGGCTCTCACAGCTCTGGTGACTGAGATCTATTGCATCCATTGAGGCTGGAGTGTAGTAGTTGTATAGAAAATGTGAAACGTTTGCTTTCTTACATGCATGCTTCCCCACAGAGGACAGCAGGTCTGGACTGGCCATGCTTACAGGATTCTGTAAATCCCTTCTTGTTCCTTCTGTCCACTTGGGGTATTTTGAAGCAGGCTGCAAGTGGAGTGGGAGCTTCCCAGCCCACAGTGACTGGCAAGTCTGCCACATGCCCATACCCCAGGAGTGGCTGCTCATACCCTTCGCTGTGCCAGACCATGGCTTTCAGGTGACATCAGGGCAGGCCCTGGCTCAAAGATGGCACCCTGCTGAGCAGGACAGCCGCCATGCCACCCCTTCCATCCATGGGCTTGCTTTGAGGCTGGTGGTCTGCACTGAGGTAGGGAGATCAGGCTGATGTGAGATCCTGCTTGCGGGTAGGTGGGGAGGTGATTCTTTAGCCTCGTGGTTTGGCTGGGGCTTTCCTGCAAGGAAGAGAGAAGAGGGCTTTTTTGTGTGCACCGTGAGTGCATAGCATAGATAAAACCAGCCAGCTTCAATGTTAAGGGGACAGCGCACTTCCAGCTGTAAGTCTCGCCAGACTCTCCAGCAACGGGCAGTTTTGGTTCAAGAGGGGAAGCTGAAGCGCGGAGAAGGGGACGTGCCTGTGAGTCAGCAGCGAGCCAGGACAGGATGGTGCCTTCCCAACTTCCCCGTGGCGGCTCTTCTGGGAAGCGGTGACCTGCAAGTCACAACCCCAGGAGCCACGTGGAGTGGGTGACCAGGCTGCAAGAACATGGGCTGGTGGTTATAGCATGAGAGCAAAAACCTCTCACTTCAGCAGTGTGGGGGTTGTGTAGCTCCATGAACTGTCCTCAGTGGAAGTGGACCTCAGGCGAATGGAGGCATGTTCTTCTTAAATGATAGGATGCTGTTGGGGGAGCCAGCCTGGGAGCATTTAAGCATCTTCTTCCTGCAGGGAAGCTAAGAAGAGAATCACCTTCAGGTCATCCCTCTTTTCTTCTTTGCATTCACTTTTTGGGAGCAAAGCTTTGGTTACAGGATTGTAGGGGTGCCACTGGGAGGTTTTAAGTCTTGGTAGCCTGTGGGAGGGAGGGGATGGTCCCCCTTAGAAAAAAGGCTGGCTGCAGACAGAGGCATTATGAGGGGCTTGGATGCCTTGCTGGACTGGTGGGAGCATCAGTTTGTGGTGTCAAGGTTATTTTTGCAGTGGGGTGGATTCAAGGCATGGCCTGCTGTCAAATGAAAGCTGGGATTCAGGCCCAGTGAAGTCACACTCTCATGTTGCAGTGGCACGTGGGTCTGTGGGGGGAGGTCTCTGGGCCAGCCCAGCATGGCTCTCCCCATTGCCTGATGGATGTGGTGTCCACTGGGTGCCACGCTCCTGGCTGTGTGACCTCCTTTTGCGCTGGTGCAAGGCTCAGCCTCCTTCACGAAAGTGGGAACAAGATGGTTTCCCCCTGTAAGGATGGCTTCCCATGGAGAGGGGCTGGCTCTGCTTCAGGGCCGCACCCAGGCTGCCGGGAATTGGGATGGAGGGAGGATAGGGAGGGCATCTCTGGCAGGGTGCTGGCACTGGCACACTCCTGGCACCCTTGGGGTCCCAGTGATGTGGGGCAGCAGTGCCCTGTGGCTGGGCTCCTGCTGGCGCAGACGTGGCTGTCCCGCTGCCCACCCCGCGACTGCTTGTGGCAGCTAGAAAGCTTGTATCCTGTATAAGGATGCATAAAGGAAGGTTGCTTGTGTGGACATGGCTTTTTTTGTCCCATGTCACCCTGTGGTCTCTCCCCCTCCTGATCTGCTCCTGGCCTGCTCTTTGCAGCAAGTGCTCCATCCCTGGGCTTGCCAGCAGTGCTTTACCCTACCAGGAGCCTTTTTCTGGCTCAGCTCTGCCAGCTGGTCCTGTCTGGGGTGGAGGTGATGGGTCTGCGGGGTTTGGTGGTCATCACTATCTGAGCTCTTCTTTCGCCATGATCTGGGCAGACACATGTGTTGCACTGCCACGACGGGGTCTGGGAGGTTGGTAGAAGCTCTTGTATTGCTGTTTCTTACCCACAAATCATTTGCAATGAGCAGTAATGTATTTAGTGCTGCTGTGAGTTGAAAGGCAGCCCACAGGATGGGGCTGACTTTGTGTTTGCTGTGGGAATAGCTCTTTGCTGAGGCCTTGAGCTGCTGTCTCCTGCTCCGTCTCATCTGAAAGGTTTGTGAGTAATGTTCTGACCCATAAGGTTGCATTTTTGCATTTGGATCATTTGGATCTGCCATTATCCAAAATAAAAGTATGTTTCAATGTCTGTGAGTTGCTTAATTTATTTTAAAGAGGAAAGAAAATTCCAGCCTTCAGGGAAACTGGAATGTCATAAAAAAGCTATTGCTAGCCATTCCATCTAATCACGTGTAAATAATTGACACCACAGCATTTAAATCCTGTGCATTATGATTGTTTACAATCAGATGGCAAACAGTAATCTTTATAGCCTGGTGTAGGTTACAGCAGAAGGGGTGTTTATTTTACAGGCTCTTCAGTGTGTGAATTGCAGTGCTTGGAGGTCCTGAGTGCAGGTGCCTGGATCCTGGTGGGGCACGTGGCCTCCTGGAAGGGAAGGACTAAATATAGGTTGGTGTTGGAAAGAATGCAGAAATAGAGGAAGGTTCTCCACTGTCTGTCCATTCTTGGTGTTTTTGTTCCTCGTGGTGGTCATGGGATAGCTGCGATAGTCCCAGCACATAAGCAAGCCAGGATTTTGGAAGTGAAGGTGGTACCTTTTGATCTGAGGAATACTGTGTATGCCTGGGAGCTTGTCTAATTTTTCTGTTTGCCAACTGGTATGTGAAAAAGCACTACCAATGCATGCAAACCTGGTCTAGCGTATGTGTCATTTCAGTATTTTAAATCCAAATGAAACAATTTAAAGTCAGTTGAACAGACCCCAGCTGTGAAAGCTTTGGGCTGATTCAGTGTGGACCCATGTTTCTGCACCCTGGAGAATTTGGAGTGTGGGAGTTTGGCCCCGTATCCCCACTGCCTGCATGCCATTCCCTGCAGTGCACATACATCTCCTATGATGGCGTGTAAAACCTGTCAGGAGAAAACATTTACTGCATGGTGGGAATTGGTAGCCTCACAGGGAGCCAGTGCAGAGATGTGAATGTGGTCCAGGGCTGTATTCACACCCTTCCCTGCTCCGGAAATATCCTACTGATAGGAAACTGCAGATCAGTGTTTTATTGCATTGTTAGAAGTTTTTGATTTGAACCCAACATATTCAGACCAAATTGACTTAAAATCAAATAGCTCTAGCAAAATTGATCTTTTTCTCTGGAAGTTTTCATCTGCAGACATCGGAGTTTCTCTTGGGAAACTGCTCCAACAGAAAATCTTTCCAGTAGCAACTTCTTGGCCTGCTGTGATGAGCACACTTACAGACCCGAGCAAATTAATGCTGTGGATCTATGCTTGATCTTGTTTTGCCTTGGAGATGCGCATCCTAACTCTGCACGGGAGATCCTCTAGACAAGTGTCAGAGAAATGGCACTGTGTCCCCTTGTCCTCCGCCCCCTGTGCCCTGGCTCTCTGCGGACACATCCCTGCACCCATAGGGTTCCCCATAGGCACTGTTCCTGTTTGCATCCTCAAGCTGCGTCCCAGCTGCTGGAAAGGGGTACACTTTGAACAAATGCTCTTTAAACTGGACCACAACTGTAGTGAAGGGCAATATT